CGCCTCGCGGTCAGCGATCGGGGGACCCCGTCGGGCACGCACCAAAGGTCCCTCCAGCGAAGGCTCACTCTTACGTGTAGTCGAGTTGAACTTGCCGTCGCTCGGACGTCCATTTCCCGTGCATTTGTCGGTTCTGTGCGTGATTCTGTTGATCGGTGGTCCAGGATGGTCCTCGATGGTTCTCGCCGAGAAAACATGCACAAGTCCGAACGATGCCAAGTGAACAAGAAAAAGCTGCACAAACACACAAACTTTTGGCGCTCCGCGCGGACTTCTTGCACCTGCGCTGGTCCCACCCCCCTGCCCGGCGCGCGAAGCGCGCCACCGGCGGCCGGCGGCGCCGCCGGGGGGGGGGGGGGCCCAGCACGGATGCGAGAAATCCGCGCGGAGCGGCAAAAGTTTTTGTGCTTGTGCAGCTCCTTCCTTCTTCGAGCGCAGTCGAGCCCATTGTGCTGCCTCCGCGCAAGCCGCCGAGGGCGTGCGCTCCCCGGCCCCAGGACGAGAAGAATCTATTGTCACAACGTGCTATTGATGCGTTCCGGGGATTCTGGGATTTCTGACAGCCCTCGCGGGGGGTACGCTTTGCGTCGAACGTTCGTCCCCGGAGCCCGCGCGGAAGAACAGGAACACCTGGAAATCTTGAGACCTGCCCATGTCAATGCTTCATGCCCCTCTGTGGCCGCCCACATCAATACTGCCCCTATCGATACGACCCATTCGCAAATCGAGTGGTCGCCCGTAGGGGGCTATTTGGCACTTGCCGATCCTCCTCCGAGGCCCTGCCGTGCACCAGCCGCTGCGGGTGCGGGCGCGCGCCGAAGCGGGGCCGTGCCTCCGCTTCGGCGCCTCGGGGCGCCCGCGGCCCGCCCTCCTCGGGCCCCCCTCGGGCCCGCGGCACGCGTGCGGGCGAGCAGGCTGCCGTGGCAGCGCACGGGGGCCTCCCATGCCATCTTGTTGGCTCTCGCGAATCGACGCTGCTAGTCGACGCGAACCGACGCTGAATCGACGCTGAATCGACGCTAGATAGACGCTGGCCGGCGCGAAATCGGCGCTGTCGCATCGACTCCCCGACGCGAGTCGACGCGAAAGTCGGGATTGAGAGGGTACACCAGGCTCCCATAAGTTGCTACCGAAGCATGATGTTTGGTTGTGGAGAGGCTGGGCACGTACAGTCGAAGCGCTGTCAGAAGGAGCCCAAAATAAAGAACGAGGCCCCATCTTGCATAAGCTACACTTCGGTGTCCAGTGTCCCACAGAAAACCTAAGGGCCACCTGCGAAAAAGTGTAAAACAAATAATCAACACTGAGCCCCTCCCAAACGAAAAGGGTTCCTTCTTCAGCGGCCCGACTGTGCGTGGAGCAATTGGAGGTCGCGCACTGGCTGCACATGCGGAGGGCTGGCGTACCCTGCCATGGAGTGGCCGCGTGTGCATCCAACTCTCGCCCGGGCCAGCCGCGTCACGCGCAGCCGGTTTGCTCGTATCTTCTGCTAGCTACGCACCAGAGGCAGGGATTCGCCCACTCGATGTGATAATCGATTGCCTGTGCTGCTTCATGCTTCCGAGCGCGGACATGCATGACCCGGACCCGCACACGAGAGTTTGGACACGTGTGCAAGCGTCGACAATGCACCCCTGCTGGACGCATGAAGCATGCGTGGCGCAGTACGGGCGGGTCGGCGCAGCGCCTACCAGTGCGAAGGCGATCGAGAACTTCAGCAACGCGTACATCGCCCGCCCAAGACAGTATCCCTGCAACAGCTGGTGCTGGGGCCAAAAATGTCTAAGAGTGCTCCGAGAAGCACAACGACGTTGCGAGATGGGAAAAGGAGAAGGACGAAGAAGCGAGGAGGGTGAAGGGAGGATGGGCGAGGAGGAAGGAGGAGAGAGTGAGGAGAGGGTCGAGGATGGAAGGGGAGCAGAGGGAAGGGGGAGAAGAGAAAGGAGGGGCGCAGGAGGGAGGGAAGGAGGAAGGTGGAGGAAGGGAAGAGCGAAACTGTGTGAGTGCATGCCACGCCGAACAGAAGCGATGATCAGCGACAGGCGAAGATACAAGAAACGACAAAAGTCTGGCATGACAAAGGCTGGGATCGATCGCGACCCTAATGCGGGATGACGATTAATAAAAAATGGGAGAGAACGATTAAAAAACATAGTTTTCTGCTATTTCTGCACAATTTTCTGACTGGGGGAGAACGATTAAACAAATAGTTTTCCAGCCCGCGGCCGGTTTTTTCCAATCGTCATCCCGGGCGCCGCCGCGTGAACACGACCCCCGGTCATTTACTAATCGTCATCCTCCATTACTCGACAAGTCCTCGTGCACAAGAGACGGTGGGCAGGCCACGGCGGATGCATTCCGCTGTGCGCTTGCAATGTTTCCGCTGTTCGGCCGTGGCTTACTCTCCTGCGAACAGGCTGACGCAGTGGACGATTACCGCCGGTCGAGCAGGGAATCGGCTACAGAATGGGTTGACCCCAAACTTGATTTCCACGCCGAGTTGGCGAAACACGCGTAGACTGCTCCGTCGACGTGCGGAACGTTCTAAGGCTTCTTGCGCAGATTTTAGGCGGGCAAATCAAGTTTGGGGTGAATACATTCTGCAATCGATCCCTTACTCGGACCGGAGGTTACGGGGGTGAGATAGAGGCATCCCATATGGGATCCGAGTAGATGGGGTCGAAAGATCGCGCCGCATCGCCAATGCATCGCCGATCTATCGGCGATGCATCTGCGACGTCGGCGTGCGGAAACACGGGTTCCACATCGAGCCGCATTGTCGATGCATCGGCGATGCGGCGCGATCCTCCAAACACAACTACTCGGACCCCCTCCGCCTCCGCCTCCGCCTCCTCTTCCTCCTCCTCATCCTCCTCGTCCTACCCCTCCCCCTCCTCCCTCTCGTCTCCCTCCTCCCCCTCCCTCTCCTCCCCCTCCTCCCCCTCCTCCCTCCCCCTCCTCCCTCCCCCCCCTCCTCCTCCTCCTCTCCCCTCCTCCTCCTCCCCTCCTCCTCCTCCTCCTCCTCCTCCTCCTCCCCTCCTCCTCCTCCTCCTCCCTCCTCCTCCTCCTCCTCCCTCCCTCCTCTCCTCCTCCTCCTCTCCTCCTCCTCCTCCTCCCCCTCCTCCCCCCCTCCTCCCCCTCCTCCCCCTCCGCACCCCCTCCAGGAGGCCTCGATGAAGAGCGAGGTGGCCCCGACAAGGAGACGTCGGTGTCTTCGGGTCTCGGCTCGCGCCGCTCTGCGCAGGCGGCAGGCGAGGGCCCGCGCCTGCGCAGCGGCGCGGCGGCCGCCGTCGGCCGTCGGCCGAGGCCGGGGCCGGGTCGGGCCAGCGGCAGTTACCGCGGTGGCCTCGCGGAGGCCCACCGGGTTGTCCCGCGGGGTCGTGCCGTGGGTTGCCCCGCGGTCGTCCCGTGGGGAGCGCAGGCCGGCATTCAGAAGCCGATGCAGCTCATATGATTGATGTTGGATGCACGCACGCAGACGGGCAGTAGGCAACAACACTAACATAGCATATCTTAGAACGCATACACATAATCATGGACTGATGCGTACTGACTACCTACCAGACCACCCCAACCCAACCCGAAGACCCGAAGTTGACCCGAATTTCGGGTTGGTTGGGTTGGGGTGGTTTGGTGGGTGGTGACGTACATGGACATAAACATACAAAAGCATGCACATATCGCGAGACCGATCATGCAATACACATATATTTGCACGTCTATACGGAAACACGTTGTGGCCGCAAGACACATCTATCGCCAGAAAGATAGGGTGAGGTGTGCCAGCCACCACTAGCAACATCCGCCACCGTGCCTAGAGGCACGAAGTGGAGTAGCCCCAGGCCCCTTGAGTCCGAAGTCCTGAGTCCTGCGGAGCTTCTAAGGAGGCCTGGATCCCAAATTCCCGGATTCTCTGGGGCTTCCCGCGGCTTGTCGCTTGAATTGTCTTGAAGCCAGAGGGCCCCAAATGGCCAAGAGGGTCCCACGAGACCTCCAGGATGGTCCAAAAGAGTCCCGAGACGGCCCCAGAGCCCTCCAAGACGCCCCGGATGGCCTCAGACGGGTCCAAGAGGCACCCGAAGTTCGCCAAAGGAGCTCCAAAGGGACCCCCAAAAGGGCCCCAGATCCAAACCATTGATTGTCCGCCAGCGTTCTCACCTTTTCCCGCTCCCGCTGCTCCCAGGCGGTTCTAGAAGCCACACGAGGGCCTCTAGACGGTCCAAGAAGCCCCAAGAGGGTCTCAAGATGGTACGAGAAGGCCGCAGAGCAGCCCAAGAAGACCCGAAGGCGGTCAAAGAGGGCACCAAGAGAGGCCCAAGAGGGGAAACTCGAACCGAGACTGCCAGCAGGCCCCTAAAAAAGGCCCGCACGAAGCCCCAGAAGGGCATCAAGAGGCCCAGAGAGGCCCCCGAGAAACCCCAAGACACACAACATCGCCTCCACAAGGCTTCCCAGAGACCTTCCAAGCGATCCCCAGAAGCATCAAACAGCCTCCGACCTACAACCAACCCAGGCATGGTGGGATGGGCCGAAGGCCACTAGGTATTCAGGGAGTGAAGCGGGTACCATCATCACAACGAATTGCCCACACATAACTGCTGCGTGGCTTGTCCCGCGATTGCCAACAAGCGCACCCATCAACATCACTGAGAACAACCACCCGCCTGTACATCTCTAAGTACAGTGAAAACGTATAGTAATGGACGGCAGAACATCCACCCCGACGATAACCACCCCGACACGCGAAGCCGTTTGGTAAACGCACCCGAAGAGGGAATCAAGCAGGGCAGGGCTGTTTAGTAAACGCCCAGGGCCGTTTAGTAAACGCCAATTCTCCGGTCCGGGTGGTTTTTCCTCCCTTGAAGTAAGGACGCGTGGTAAGGACGCAAGACCCTTGGAGGCCGCAAAATTGAAGTATTCGGGCCTACGAAAATTGGTAGGGACGGGCTGCAGAGGCTGAGGCAGGCAAGGACCCAAAGGTACCCTTGAAAAAGTCGTTTGTCCTTACTATGCGCGTTGACTGCAATGTCCATGAGCGGTATGGGGCCCTGTGGCTCCGCCACCGTCACCTTCGCGCGGGGGGCCCAAACTGCAACATCATGCGGGGAAGTATCGGCCATCGCCAGAGCCCGGGAGACGTTCTTCATCGCCCCCCTTCAAATGTTGCTGTAACAACTGGGCGCGTTCATTCAGGACCCGATGCACTCCGAAATTCGGCAGCTTAGGAACTAATAGTCGGACAGATCGAGCGCCGAAGAAAACTGCTGTACGTGAGTGTTGCGAATGCTGCTGCAGAAGGACCAGATGCTCTCCGCAGTTGGGGAGCGAGATCGAGCGCGAGAGGGGCATTATAGCAGTGCACATGACAATGATTGCAAACGGTGATAGTGGAGATGTGGGTGATGGTGTCGCCGAGGAGTGTGACGAGGGTCCGAGCGCAAACGACGGTGCAAAAAGACCGCTGCCCTCTCAATAATCAAAGTCGTCACCAAGCTACTGCTATGGCGTACCCATCATCTTTAGCACTGGGACCCAACCCGCTGAACGACAGTGCGGCTGTAGTCCGCGGCCATGTAGGCGGGCCCAACTAAACTGACATTGCGAAAGGCATGCCGTCCAGTCCCAGCAGATAGTCGTGCAATGTAAAGTTGCACCAGATGTTGCGCAAGACCTCGGAAGCATCATCTTCTATCCACTCTGAGACGTGGCCACCGTCCACAAACGACAGCGTCAAATCTGCATCCATGATGGCCCTGTGGCACAGGAACTCGTCCACACCAACTTCGCCAACGTGGGCCTCCAAATCACCGTGGACAAACACGAGATCTTGACCATCGCTCGCATAGAGGCCGTAGCCTTCCTCGCGGAACAACGCGACGGCTGCACTTGTGGAGCAGCCCAGAGTTGCCGGGGTCCTGCCCAGCGGCCCCAGGAGCTTCACGACCTCGAAGAACCGAGGATCCCACTGGCGCGAAAATCGCACGGGAGGCGGCACAGCGATGTTGACCGCAATCCATACAGCCTTCGGCCTGGCCTGTCGCAAGATGGCCTTGGCCAGAGCGCAATCAAAACTGTCGATGTCGATCTTGACGAAATCTATTGGGGTAGCCCGCGACCCGTGCGGTGAGCATGCGAGCCCACCTCGAGACAGGACAGAGCACAAGTTCACAGGACTCGCGGCCTCTTGCACGAAGTGCACCCTGCTGTGTGGGGGACGCTGCCCTCGGGTGCCCTGTGGATCTACGAAGATCGCTGACATGTTCGGATTATGCCGGGCAAGCTCGTGCATTGGATCGGTCCACCCGCCAGCCCCGAAATTAACAATCCATCCACTGACGGCCACACCAGCACTGCGCAGACGCTCGTACATCCACACGCTCCGCGACGAGAATGCTCTCCCATTGAGCCTGCCTTGCACACGGGAGCTGCAGCGCTCTTCCACAATGTGCTTCTGGTCTAGGTTTCCGATACGCCAGAGAAGCCTTTTGTTTTTCAGCGGCGCCTCTTCGTTACCTGATCGACGCTCCTTGATTCGATTGGAGTTGAGCGCGTGGAAATTGCGCAAGATATGCACTGGAGCGTTCCGCCAACCAATATGACAACCATCTATCTGCACCGTGGCATCCTCCCTCTGGCTTGTATTACGCTCTTCGCGCCCTAATAAGAAGGTGGGGATCAGACATTTATCCGCTATGCTGTTGCTCCCTCCTGGGCACTTGCGTGGTGTATGCACCCTCCTGGTCGAGGCCAGGAGAGTCTGTACACCATCCCAGGGCCAAGGATGACCTTGGCCATGCATGGTGGTGGTGGTGGTGTGTAGACGCCTCCTGTGGATGCGAGGAAAGAGGAAGCGGGAAGAAGCGGGAAGACAATCGGGTCAGATGCGGAGTGGGTCCGCCAAGCCCACACTAGCAGGCCAGGGCACCACACTAAGGGGAAGAATCAAGCAACCGCGTGCGAACCCTACCCCTGCAAGTCGGATTCCTGAAACACCGGCTGGGGTTCTGAATACGAAGGGCGTCTGCAGCCAACGGGTAGGGTCAGGTCGGGAATGCCCTCCTACAGGCGTATTTTGGACAAAAAATGAAAAAGAGTCCAGACATAATCAAAAATAGCAAACATAGTAGAGAAATCGTCCCCATGCTGTTTTTGTAAGAGCATTGTTGAATATTCTTCCTGTGAAGGGACGTGCCCGACTTAAGGGTAGGGTTTGCTCGTGGTCGCCGAGGAGCAGCATGGCGGACACACTCCTCCTCCTCCTCCTCCTCCTCCTCTTCCTCCTCCTCCTCCTCCTCCTCCTCCTGTTTGCTGGTCAGCATGGCGGACACACTCCTGGTCCCCAGAACGCGTTCCACCTTCGCCGGACCCTTGCGGCGAGGGCAACCGCCTCGGCGTCGCAGCAAGCCTCGAAGTCGAGCGCTCTCTGCCTAACCGCGTCCCAGCCCCAACACCCGAAGGCGTGCGACTCCTTGGCCTCGACGTCGCAGCACCTGTCGGCGGTGTACCACGGAGGGCCAGAGGGGCCGCACGAGCACGAGCACAAACTTTCGGACGTCCGCTGACAGTTCCTCCGAACGCGCCGGACCCCCTACGCACACCCCTTCTTTGAGCAGGGACCGACTGTCCCGGCATTCCTATAGACCTGCCACGAAATTTCTTTCCAACATGTTCAAACAACGAAGACAATGCTCTTAGAACATGACCCGACATGCTACAACAAGACAGTGTCAGCCAGAAGTGTACGAAGAACACCTCATGCAAACCACAAGAGGTTCTTATGACTTCTTTGGTGAGCCTGTAGGCGAGCCAGGACGCTTCGCCACTGCTTGACCTCTGCTCAGGTAACCTGTCGTAAACCCGGGGCTGGCGGATGCTGCTTGGGGGGGGGACAACTCCCCCCGCGCCCTGGCCCGGGGGTTGCCACGGGTACCCCTGGCCCAGGGTGCCCCCAGCTTTTCGCCCGATGTTGGAGCCCCTGGGGCCCTCTGGGCCTCGTGAGGGGTCCTCTGGGGGCCGTGGGCGCCTCCTTGGAAATCCTGGGGGCCTCCCTGAAAATCCCAGGGGACACCTCTGGCAACACCCGCCTGGCGTGTGAGCCATGGGGCGGCGCTGGAGGAGCCGCCCCATGGCTGGGCTCAAGTCGGGCCTGTCCCTCTACAGGGGGGAACATTCAACAAAAATAGTCAAAAGATAGTCTGGGGACGATTTTTCTGCTCTTTTTCCTTTTTGGGGGAATATCTGTTTTGAGTATTTCTTTTTTGTTCGCCCAACGTCCCCCTGTAGGGGGACACGCCCGACCCAAGGCTGGGCGCGGGCGCGGGGCCGAGGAGCTGCCCGCGCGGCGTCCCCTCGGGAGCGGCCAAGAGGGGGGTGTCCAAGAGGGGGTGCAAATCATGACCGGCGGCATGTGCGCGGCCCAGCGGGGGGGACAGGGACGTAATGAAATAAGAAGAGGCGCCATGAAATCTGGGGAAATATCATGGCCCCCGCCATGATATCCCCCCCCCCCTAGTCATCCCCCCCCTCTTTTCCGCCCCCGATCCCCGGGGGGGCGCAGTGCTCGCGCGGCCTCTGCCAGGGCCCCCCCGCCTATGCTGTTCCAGCAGGGGGCGGCGCCGCCGCGCCCGAGGGCGGCCAGGCAGGCCAGCGCCCGGGGCAGGGCGCCGCCGGGGGGCGCCGCGCTGCGGGCCCGCGCCATCGGGGGGGAGGGGCCTCGGGAGAAAACATAGCGATCACTCGTGCCGCATTCCTCTGTGAAGGCCTCCCCCTCCCGCCAAAATGTTCAAAGTTGGCGGTGGGTCTGGTGAGTGGCAGCTCGACCGCAATCTCCCCGGCGCGTGGCAACTGTGAGTTTGGGGGGCAAGGGGGGGGGGTTCACCGATTGTTTCCCTCTGCCGGAGGAGCGGGAGAGGTGGGCGAGGAGCAGAAGCGGGTCTTACAGTAGGGGCCCGACCACAGGAGGCCTTCCACGGGAAAGCCAGCCCTGAGACCCCATCGATTTTTGGTGGGAGCGTCACGCTTCCCGCGGCAGAACCATCGAAACCCAAGAATCCCAGGGCACCCTGGATGACATAGCGACCTTACGCGGTGGCTTGCGCGTGCCGCCAGCGCGGCATGCCGCACTGGAGACGGGGGCGCTTGCGCGCGACCTGACGCGGGCAGCTTGCGCGCCAGGGTCGGCGCAGACGACCCCGTTCTTTGCTGCACCGCCCAGGTGGAGGCCGGGTGTTGCCCGAGGCGTGTCTGGCCCAGGGCGTCCCCGGCTCTTCTCGCCATGCTGGAGTCCCCCCCCCCCGACTCTGGCTCAGAACTGTGGCCACACGCTCTGTCGGCAGACCCCGCTTCCGACGGGGTGGCGCCTCCCGGAAATGACAAGGCCCCCGTGCTGTCCTGTCCTGTCCTGCCCCTCCCCCCCCGACTCTGGTTCAGAACTGTGGCCACACGCTCCGTCGGCAGACCCCGCTTCCGACGGGGTGGCGCCTCTCGCAGAATGACAAGGCTCCCGTGCGGTCCCGAGGCCTGTTCCCTGCGCCCCCCCCTCTGGGCCCTCGGGGCCCCGTGGAGCTGCCCTGGGGGCCCCGTGGCCTGGGGGCACCTTGGGCCAGGGATCTTTCGGGCTCCTTGGGCCGTCGTGAGCCGTCGGAAGGCTCGAACAGATCAAAATCCAAACCCCTTCGAAAAACCTAGGGAACACATTGCTTTTGACCTGTTCGGGCTATCGTGGAGGACCTCTTGGAGGCCTCTTGGGCCGTCTTGGGGAGGGGGGGGGACATCTCTCGTCCAACGTCAGCTGCGGTCGGCACCACAGCGGGACAGCGGATCGGATCGGAATGTGCGCACCGGACTGGTCCGTGCCGGCGCGGAGTCGAGCTCGAATCGGATCGGCCGCGCCACGATGCATAGCAGCGCCGTGCAGACATCGGGCCGCATCGCACCGTCGGACAAGCGAGATCGGATCGGACCGATGGGATCGAAACGGGCCCTGGACGGCACATTCTGCTCGTGACGTGTCCCCTGGACGGTCTCGACGCGCCTTGGCCACCTCCACAGGGCGCGGCTGCTCCTCCCGAGTCGGTTTGCCGGTGGCCTGGAGCCGCGAGACTGCCTCCAGATTTGGACGCCCGAAATGGGTACGGAAAGACTGGGCACAATGCCCAACAACAAATGTTGTCCCAAAGCAACAGCGGCCGCTGTTGGGCAGGCGGCCTTCTGTCTCGAATGGACACAGGCCGCGGCGGCGTGGACAGCGAGTCCTCTTCAAAATGAACCGGAACTGCTGTTGGGCATCGTACCCATTCTTTCCGTGCCCATTTCGTTCGTGCAGACCAGAGGCGGAGCCCGTCCAAACATCGGTCGCCGCTGCTCTCCCGCAGCGCCCAGATCTGAGGGACCCTGGCCCTCCTCGCGTCGTAGGCAAATCACGACGGGAGATCTTCTGATCACTTTCGGCCTCTGGGCTGGACCATCGACAATTTGGACGCCCGAAATGGGTACGGAAAGACTGGGCACAATGCCCAACAACAAATGTTGTCCCAAAGCAACAGCGGCCGCTGTTGGGCAGGCGGCCTTCTGTCTCGAATGGACACAGGCCGCGGCGGCGTGGACAGCGAGTCCTCTTCAAAATGAACAGGAACTGCTGTTGGGCATCGTACCCATTCTTTCCGTGCCCATTTCGTTCGTGCAGACCAGAGGCGGAGCCCGTCCAAACATCGGTCGCCGCTGCTCTCCCGCAGCGCCCAGATCTGAGGGACCCTGGCCCTCCTCGCGTCGTAGGCAAATCACGACGGGAGATCTTCTGATCACTTTCGGCCTCTGGGCTGGACCATCGACAATTTGGACGCCCGAAATGGGTACGGAAAGACTGGGCACAATGCCCAACAACAAATGTTGTCCCAAAGCAACAGCGGCCGCTGTTGGGCAGGCGGCCTTCTGTCTCGAATGGACACAGGCCGCGGCGGCGTGGACAGCGAGTCCTCTTCAAAATGGACCGGAACTGCTGTTGGGCATCGTACCCATTCTTTCCGTGCCCATTTCGTTCGTGCAGACCAGAGGCGGAGCCCGTCCAAACATCGGTCGCCGCTGCTCTCCCGCAGCGCCCAGATCTGAGGGACCCTGGCCCTCCTCGCGTCGTAGGCAAATCACGACGGGAGATCTTCTGATCACTTTCGGCCTCTGGGCTGGACCATCGACAATTTGGACGCCCGAAATGGGTACGGAAAGACTGGGCACAATGCCCAACAACAAATGTTGTCCCAAAGCAACAGCGGCCGCTGTTGGGCAGGCGGCCTTCTGTCTCGAATGGACACAGGCCGCGGCGGGACAGCGAGTCCCGTTCAAAATGAACAGGAACTGCTGTTGGACATCGTACCCATTCTTTCCGTGCCCATTTCGTTCGTGCAGACCAGAGGCGGAGCCCGTCCAAACATCGGTCGCCGCTGCTCTCCCGCAACGCCCAGATCTGAGGGACCCCGGCCCTCCTCGCGTCGTGGGCAGATCACGACGGGAGATGTTCTGATCACTTTCGGCCTCTGGCACCGTCGAGCCAAGAGCTTATGTCTACTATGCCGTCCCTCCTTTCTCGCTCCTCCTCCCTCCCCTCCTGCTGCTGCTGCTGCTCCTCCTCCAATCGCGCACGCAGTGCATTATGAGACAGCCGACGTGCAGTCGCTCCCGCAAAGCGGCGAGATCAGGCTGGCATTGTCTTTTGTTTTTTGCCCACGCGCTCCGGCGTATGGCAGTTCGTTCGTTCGTTCGTTCGGCCTCTGGGCTGGACCGTCGACAAACGACTCGGGATAAAACGCCGGCCCCAGGGAAGCGGTTCAGATCCCGGAGGTCCCGCGTCAGACTTGCAGTCTCGGAGGGGTCGGGAGCGGGGATCAGGAGCGAAGGAGGGGGGTTGGAGCGGGAGTGTGATCCCCATGCCTCTGGCGTCGCGTTTTTGGCGCGTCGTGGGGGCCCCCAGGGCTTTTGCACTACAGTGAAAACGTATAGTAAGGACGCGTGGTAAGGACGCAAGACCCTTGGAGGCCGAAGTTGAA